TAATATATATATATATATATATATATATATATATATAATACATATTTGTAATAGCGATAAAGTCAATACACGTACCGTATAACTGAATCTACATATAATGTATTACTATATTGCAGCCTAATACTCGTTGACATACAAACTCAGATATACCTCCAATCACTTCCACAATGTAATAGCGTGTGAAACGAGTAGTACATCCCATGGGATGTGTATGCTACACTTGTATATGTATATAGGCTTGAAATGTTTTAAATTGACCAGGTATGTCCATCTCTCGTACATTCATCTGTTACTCGCACTCTCGTTGACACCGTGCGTAATCACTCCATTGACCTTAAACCATCACTGTGCTGTGATCGCGATGCACACACAGTAGGCCGGCATTGACCATTTCTACACCAATAAATACGCACACGAACAGCTTTCCCGGATGATGACGGTGACTATGCGAAAGACGACTACATACCAGACCTCGAGGACAAAGCGGTGTTCGATGAGGATTTCGGTACGTGTAGTGATGTGGTACTATGACATGTGGGCATCTCAGGGTATGCATGACGATTGGTTGGATGACTATAAGACCCAAGCTATGACTTTGTAAACGATAGGAGTATGAGATTATCTCATATGATGGCACTATTACATCATACGAGTAGTGCTTATAGTTTTATCACGTTTAGCCTACCCCGCTCAGGTCCATTCGTTCTGGTACTTGATAGTTGTGGCAATGATTCAGAAAACACGCGGTTCAGATTGATAAAAAATTATGTAGTTGACTAGCACGCACGAGACTATCGCTATGTGTGGGTTACTTTGTTTGGGATGTGCATTGGGTGTGTATAATCTAGCCGATTGGATATACCCTGTGAAACTGTTGTGAACTGTTAAGTCCCCACACAGTAGCAGGCAATTGCGCACACATACACACATGCACATGCACATACGCATACATTCACACTCACACATACACATACACTCACACTCGCAAATACACATATACAAACACATGCACATACACATGAATATACACATACATATACACATACACATACACTGATATATACACATGTACATAGACGTACACATACACATACACACTAAATTTGTGTGCAGTTATCTTGTCACCTAGTAGAGCCATCGAATAGCAAATGGTATGAGATCAGTGCACACGAACATACTATCTATAGCGAACACGCGCGCTTACATGTAGTGGCTTCAGCCATCTGTGTGTATGTACAATTCAGTCTCAAGAATTGCGATAGATGTGGAGAAAGTATATGTGTGAACTTTATAACGAACGGCGGTGGGTGTTGTGAACGTATTTGTGTATAAAGTAGAACAACAGTATGGAATTCTGCCTTTTTCTATACTTGGCAGTGGCAGGCTAATGACTTCAGAGACTGCTTGTGCGTATAAGAGGAACACGCAAATACAGTTGCTTGTCAGTTGCATGTCACGCGTTGCACACATAATGCATTGGCACAAAGAGTTAAATGAGGCGGTCTTAAACACTGATATATATTGGATTGTCTTACAATTCCCTGAGGTGATGTGTGTCACAGCTATTTCATTGTCTTTGAATGCAATTATAATCCAGTTCTGATTCTTATATGTTTTTCGGCTATTATTCCTATACAATATATGTATATATATATATATATATACGTGTGTGTGTGTGTAGTAAGAAA